TTCTCGAAACGCAATGAAATCTACCAGCTAGAACTACTATAGGTCTTTTCACGGTTTTGTTCAGGTCATAGTAAAACCTCAGAGTACTACCAGATGGCCTGTAAAAATTAAGGTCCTATCAACCAACTTGAGTCCTATGCGTTTGGTAGGATTTCCGTTGCTGTCAACTGTTACTGTGATATTTAAGGATATTCATTTACTTAGTTCTACTATTGCTGGTGGTTATACCCAATCCAAAAATCTCTCCGAGAATAGGCTAGTTGTCATTTTTTTAAGTAGATCTTACACAGTTAATATTTGCTGTATTAGCGAAAAAAATTATTACTATATTTTTTCAGAGTTAAAATACCGTAAAAATTTAATATAAAAACATATTTTTCTTATACAGGCGAAAATGCTGTCGTCCATGTTTGGCCCATATTAATTTGCTCTCACGTCACACCATGTAAACTACACATGTGCTTTCCTTAGTGGTCGATTCTAGATGGTGCTTTGTTTATTTTCATACCATGTTTAAACAGCAGCTAACAGCAGCATAACATCTCAAACGTTTAAGCATATACAGATGACTTCTTCTAGTTTACATGAAAAAGTACCTAATTATCATTATTGTGTCGTCCGATAATGTAAAAACATATCGATAAAGACCCCAGTAAAGCTGTGGATTAGAGTGCCCATTACAATAAATATTGCGTGGAGCGTACATTATGTTCGGGACATATTTTACATTTTACTGTGCAGATTTTATCGTCTCGTTTGAGCTGGATGACAGTGCGATTCACTTGCAGATGTGTAAGAAGAAATACAATATTAGATAAATTTATTCAAAGGTTATGGCGCATGAGCTTAGTTTTGAATGAATTCTGAAAAGGAATATTACGTACGTGTATTAGAGTAATAAAGTATAACCACCTCTGAAGAAAATTCCCCCGAGCGAACATGGAATCAGGTAGGGAACGTGCCAAACGGTTAGATCAAACACCGATCTTCCTCACACACTTATGTAATCGGCATCTATGCGTGTACGTTTGTTCGTGTAAGGTCTCATACATACGTTTTTGGTTTTAAAGTCTCCCATATTTAAGCTTATCAATGTCAGTGCGACAGCTTGCGTATCATGAGCGTCCAATTTTAGTTTACCTTTACTGATATTCGATAATCTAAAACATAGCAGTGCCTGAAGATACAGCTACAACGTTGACAGTCTGTATTAAGTTTGTACTGGTAGATGTATTATCAGAAAGTGGACGAAAACAATGGTGTTGCTGTATCAGATAATTAATGTGTGCGTGTGTGCAAGAGCGAATGCGCACTGTCCAATTTTCTTCAGAGAAGTTAAGCTATGCACATGGTACAGTTAGTCAAGCTGTCTATCTATTTCTTATGACATTGTGACGTAACATCCAAAAATCGCAAAAAAAACTATATACAATATTCGACTTCAAAGGTTCGTACGCCTATGATCATCATTATTCATCCTGATTTTTATTCAACGGCCTTCGCTTGGAAGAAACGTAAAAAATGGAAACGAGTTGTTTTTGTCCTAATTCGAAAGAATTGGAACAATCGGTCTGGTGAATATTTTTGTATGAGACAACCAGAGAGAACATCTTTTAGAAAAAATATGCACATAGAAGAATTATCTAATGGATTCAATCTCTATGTCCTTAGGCCAAAAAAAAAGGTATTGTATTCGAGAAAAATATCTTGGTTGAAGAGAGCTTTTTGAAAATCAACGTGGTGTTTAGATCAGCCAAATCACCTCTGTGGTAGGCGTTATGAAGGTGCGTTTCCATTACCATAAATTTGCTCAATATTTTTTTTGCACCGAAGCAGCCGCGCAGGCGGAACCCTAAAGGAGCTTAAAGAGACTTTGTTAATCCAATTTTTGAACTGCCAAGGTTAGTAGAACTGGGAAAAACCTCCTCATGTAGATTGTTCCACAATCTCGATACGCTAGGGAGAAAGGAGCAGTCGTATCGGCCTGTTCTGGACACGGTTAGGATAGGAGGCTGAAGTCAGGCGAAAATGTCTGGCTGGCAGATCGTGCGGAGGAGGAGATCTCTGAGGAGTAAAGCCCGTTGGCATAGCGGTAGAAGAGAGCTAGATCGCCGACGACCCGCCGGTGAGAAGGGACCCCATTAGAGAAGAGTCATCAATCAGTGGGACATTCCTCCTCTAAACACCATCGAGCATGAATAATAAATTAGTCTAGCTCTTTCCCAGCTATGCAGCTGCAGCTATTGACGAGATGTGTTCCTGCCAGATCAAGTTCCTGGTGATCTGGATTCCGACCAGTCGAAATGAAGGGCTCTTTTTTAGAATTCTGTCATCTATCGAAACCGGATGAACGCTAGGACGCTTCCTGTTCGTCAAGGTACATTACTATGTTTTGGAAGCATTAAGGTACACAAAATTGTAGCGTCCCGAAGCAGTGATAGCCACTGGGTCTCTTGTGAGAGAGGAAGTCGCTGCAAGTCTTCTTTTCTCCAGCTCACCGGCAGAGATCGGCTTGTCACTCTGAATTCCTGCTTGTAGAGTGCTATCATCAGCAAAACTGTGGATTGGATTGACCATACAGGAAAGGAAGTCGTTGATATCTAAAAGGAACAATGTCGGAGTGTGGTAGCACATGTGCCAGGCATTGTACAGTTGCAAAATGTTGCAAATTGTGCGCCGAAGACAAAAATTTGCCGAGTGATTGCAGCCTCATGCAAATTGCTTCGCGGACATTTCAGTTTGTAATATGTGCCCGGCATTTCTGTATGAAAATCTTTCTATTAGAAATGCCATACTGTCTAGGTAAAGAATATCACATTCCTAGCTAAAATGTGCAAGATGCATGTGTCGTTGTATCATGTATATTCATATATTTACATAAACCTTTAATTCGACTTCGCTATACTGCATGTTACAGTATCATTCATTATTTTCCTGGACTGTGTAATTACTACTTGGCATCGTGTAATGACTGTCTGTATTTTATGAAACAGTGCACCAAGCGTGTAATGGGTGCAACGATTTTTACAGAAGCCTGGCTCTACAACCTGCACTTGAGCCGATTTATAATGGAGCTGTAATGAGAATAGCAGAGCGGCACTAAAAGACTGTAATTTGATGAGCGTATAACCTACTGAACTGTAAATTACACCTAAATCGCTTTTAATCTTATGAAGGGTGCTGCAGATCAGTTTTTTATAATTAGTATATTTTGTAATATGAGGATTCTAGAAAAAAGTTTCCAACGAAAGTTGTAGGGTTCTAAGGGGCCAAAATGATGGCTACCTGACAATGACCTTGGCTATGACCTTTAAAAACATCTAAAGAAAAAAACAAACAAGAAAAAGAAGCCAAGAAAAACATATTTCACTCAGGTGAGTAACATATCATAAATTCAAGCAATTTCTAGCTACTCCCAGAATGCTGTTCAAGCTGTCAGCATGTAGATCACAATAGTTTGATATTGGATTGAAAGTTTCACACATCACATATATGGGTGCCTTGAAAAACAAATTTGTGCGAGCCCTGTCGCAATAAAATGTTTTAGTTTGAATAGATGGAACACTAAAGTTTATTTGAGCCACAATCTCATTAGCATCAATTTGATTGTGCAGTAGTTTATGCAAGAACATAATTGATGCACACTTCCTTCTCAGTTCTAAAGACTGCCCTTGAAACCTAGACAATAACAAACTTTTAGATATACCACGTTCAGGATATATACCGTCAACTTTAAAAGATAAAAATTTTAGAAACTTTCTCTGGACATGCTCAAGAGAACCAATGTAGCAGTTGTAAATTGGGTTCCAACTTAACGATGCATATTCCAATTTCGATCTAATATATGCAGAATACAAAACCAACAGCGACTCTGGGCGGCTAAAGCTTCTACAGTTTCTCACAATAAACCGTACGCCCGCGAAGCTTCACTGACCTTTTGAGCTATGTGAAGCGATAAATTAAGTTTATGGTCAAAAACTACACCCAAATCCTTAATTGAGTTATAACGATTTATGTAAGCATCCCCAATTTTATAATTAAATTTACAAGCAGAAGTTTTCCTGGAAAAGCTGACTTAGACGCATTAAGAAATAAATTATTCTCGTCACACCAAGCCACTATAGAATCAATATCACGCTGAAGTGCAATACAATCAGTCTCAGACTCGATAATCCTGAATAATTTTAAATCATCCGCAAAGAGCAGCTTTTTACAACTTAAATAATGCACAACATTATCAATAAATCAGGTAAACAATAAAGGACCAAGATTTGAACCTTGAGGCACTCCCGAATTAGTTATAGCACAGTTGTGAGGTTTGTGGCGATCATACAAAGGTGACCCTCACGATGACCTTGACCATGACATCCTGGCCTAGATCAAGTCAACATTTCCAAAGGATGCATCTCATTTATATACTTGAAATACAAAAAGCAAGAAAATTTACACCCGAATATGACCTCAACCTCAAACTCAAGATCTCGTGTAAATCTTAAACGTTATTTGAGATCATGGTAACATTCCGACGTAAAAGTTCCTGCTTTCTCCATTTCCGGTACAGAAATTACATCTTTCCTTTGAAAATTTTGACTTGACCTCGAATTTTATGGTCAAGGCCATGGTTACCTCTGTCTGATCTCCACAAATCGCACAACTGTATCGTCGAACATATGTATATAAAACACATTTTTTTCGATATCTTAATTTGACCTTGACATGGCCTTGCCACTTGGTAGTTACAAAAAAAATTAAATATAAAAAGTGTTTTGTTTTGATCTAAAGGTTTTCCTCATTACCTCCAGTTATAAATTACCAATTTGACTCTCGATACAAAACATATTTTCTATAGATATGTATATAAACCGGAATGAATAGTTCTCTGCGTTTTTTAAGAAAAATAGCGAAATGAAGCAAGGAGACCTTGTATCGAACGCCTTCTGGATCAGCTGTCAATGTTAAATTAAAAAGTCACTAAACTACTACTAGTAAGAATGCAGAAATATAATTGACTATTTTTATTCTTAAAAACCTTGACGAAACGTAAAGCGATATAAGTGTGAAAAGTAGTTTGATTTCCTAGAATACCTTAGAGGAGTAAACTGAAGCAAACTAATTTTGATAAATTGTTTATTTGAAGTACAAACGGTCAGTTCAGTACGTTCTGATCTTTGGCGGGACACTTGGGCATTCATCCTCATCTAACGTACAATCTATAACCGACCTAAAAGTGAAACACACTTCTCCCGTCTCCACATCCATCCAAGATAATGTATGTTTCCTCCAATGTTCATCAAATGTCTTCCTTCTTTGGCCTCTTATGGGTTTGGAATAATCGTATTCATCAATACGACTCTTGAAGTCATCTCTTGCATGGGCACCTCGTGATTCTTTCCTCTGTTCCATCGCGTAGATGCTTTGGACAGAGTTTACCAATAGATTCTGCAGCTCCAGAGCTTCTAGTAGATCACTGTTCCAAATAAGCCCTCTGTCGGTAACCTTCACTTCGCCCATCTCGCAATAAAGGTCACTTACAATCGTGCAACCCTCCGCTAACAAATCTTGGATTCTGAAAACAGCAGCGTGCTTTTGCATAGTCTTCTGCAGCTTTAGTCTCAACTGTCCAACGCTCTGTCTACCGTCTTGGTGCCTCAATTTATCAAAGTTCTCCAACGTAACCATTCCTAAGCATTCGTCCATCTCAACTGGTTCACCTGGAACGCTTGTGTTTGCGATAGTGTCAGCTACAGCTTTACCAAAAACTACAGTTTCCAATAAGGAATTAGCTCCCAATCTGTTAGCACCATGGACAGAGACACAAGCTGCTTCACCACAGGCGTACAGACCAGGAACAACTTGGTCCTTACCTGGTGCCACCTGCGTGATTACTTGCCCTTTGTAGTTAGTTGGTATGCCTCCCATACAATAGTGTAATGTTGGTATTATAGGAATGGGTTCCTTTAAAATGTCAACTCCCGCAAAATCCGCAGCTGACTGTCTAATACCTGGTAGTTTCTTGATTATCACTTCTTTGGGCAAATGGCTGAGCTGCAGATGGACATACTCCCCATCTGGACCACATCCTCTACCTTCCATTATTTCTATCGTTTCACTCCGAGATACTACATCCCTGGAAGCCAGATCTTTCGCTTTTGGTGCATATTTCTCCATGAATCTCTCACCTTTATTGTTGAGGATATATCCTCCTTCACCTCGAGCCCCTTCCGTGATCAAAACACCTGCTCCATACACACCTGTAGGATGAAACTGCATGAACTCAACATCTTGTAGAGGAAGTCCAGCTCTGGTGACCATAGCAGTTCCATCTCCTGTTGAAGTATGTGCTGCTGTACAAGAGAAATACGTTCTTTCATATCCTCCAGTGGCTATAACTACATTATTTGCGAAGAACCTGTGAATGGTCCCATCTTCTAAGTTCCAAGCTATCACACCTACCGGTTTATCTTCTTTCATCAATAGATCCAAGACGAAGTATTCAATGAAGAATTTGCAGTTGTATTTGACAGCTTGTCCATAAAGAGCGTGGAGCATGTAATGTCCTGTTCCATCTGCTGCAGCATTTGTTCGATGAGCTATTCCTCCTTCGCCAAATTTAAGGCTTTGGCCTCCAAATGCTCTTTGGTAGATTTTTCCGTCTTCAAACCTGGAAAACGGTACACCTATGTTTTCTAACTCCAAAATCGCTCTTGGTGCGTCCTTAGTCATGAAATGGATAGCGTTTTGATCACCAAGCCAGTCCGAACCTTTCACAGTATCGTAATGATGAAACAACCAGCAGTCATCTTCAGCATGACTTAATGCAGCATTGATTCCTCCTTGTGCAGCAACGGTATGGGACCTCGTTGGAAAGAGTTTCGTAAGGCAAGCCGTGTTGAAGCCGTGTTTCACCAAGCCATACGTAGCTCGTAAGCCAGCTCCGCCAGCGCCCACCACAACGCAGTCGTATTGGTGGTTTACTATTGGATATTTTGCAGCAATGTTGTCCTTGTCACACGATGAAGAAAATAACCGCTTGAAAGGTGGGAAAACTATCGAATTTCTGCACAGTGATGGTAGCCTGATCATGACTGTTCACAATGCTGAATAAAATGGTGGTTTTCTATCATCTGTCAAAGCTAAATGCCAAATGGTTGATTGAAAGTGGACTAAGCTAAAATACCTGTCACTATTTCAACTACAACACTACTAATATCTTACACTGTGCGTTAAATATAATTAAAGTAGGCGCTATAGTGGCACTTTCATGATATCGTCAATGGTCCAGAGGCAACTAAGATCACGTTTTACATACATAGTTTAAGGCACGATTTTCTAGTTAGTCCAAGTATCTTCGTATAAAAATATTCTGAGTCGTTTTTATTTTTGCATAATCTTATACAAATCTACATGTTGCCAGGCCCACAGTTGTGTCAAGAATTGATTAAACAATTATCTTAAACAAGTTTCAAACATTTGCTTTTTCGCAACACAAAGAAACTTTTCAGGTTTTTTGAGTCATTCATATTGAAGAATGTGTTTATGAACTTTTGTCTAAAGTTGTTGGTTCGAAAAAAAAACAATATGATGTTAAAATTCCTGAATATTCTTCAAATATTCATTAACAAAATCCCAGTGTTGATATTGTAAACCTTTTTCTTCGGAGACACAAGTGGATAAAGGTGTCATGTAACAAAATCATAATATGGACTTTAAAAATTTTGTATTGGAACTTTTTATTTTTACGAAATTTTAAATATTATGTTTAACTAGTTAGTTTTTATCTTGTTTTTACAACAAAGTAATCACAGAATGTAAGAAACACTTCTAACGGTTAGTTTAATGCAAAAAAACTATTTTTAAAAAAATATTTCATGGCACCATTATCCTCCACCTGTGTCTTCAATTGTTATTACACAAGCACGCACCCAATTAACAATAATTAGAAAACGAATGTTTACAAAAGCTATACAAAATGATTTGAGATTTTGTTAACAGATGTTTGAGGAATAATTAGAAAAATTGGTAACATTAAAAACTTTTTAACTTATACTGTTTTTCACACAATTTTGGGCCTGGTAATATATAAACCCGTGAAAAGGAGTCCTTTTTTGATAAGATTATGTAAAAAAATTGCGTGAAGCCGGTTGTGTCTGCACTTCCCACGCAGCGCCGTAATCAGTTCATAAAGGATTGAGTTCAGCACAAGTTAAAGGCTCTGAGAAAAAAGTTAGTTGCGAACATGTACAACAGAGAAATTAAAAGGATCAAGTAAGTTAGCCACACCCATTCAATTAGTCCATAGACATTCTTTCCCTGCCCTAGCGGTAGTTACCGTTCATCTGGCAACGTTGCCTTTTTGCCATATCTCACCGCACGACGATGCGGCACCGCTGCAGAACTGGCAGAACAGTCAACCAGACCAGCACAACCGCCGGTAAACCCAGAGAGCAGAAGGAAACATTCTCTATTATTCCACGTTTTATAGGCAAATGTACGGGAAATTTATGGTGTATGAAATATGGCGCAAAAAATTGAGATATAGCCTCCCCCATCCCTTATAACCACAATGCCCTAATCTTGGACGCTTACAATAATTTTTCTGAAAATGGTTAGGAGCCTCTGGAACGTCAAAAAACGAAGGTTGAGCGTTGTTCATGTTTTCGTGTATTTACCCCTAGCTCCACCGTTACTAAACCGTGCTTCAAAAACTAGAAAGTTTCTTCGTCCTGGATATAGCAGTGTCCTTGTGTAAAAATGTCATACAAATCGGAGCGATACTTTCTAAGTTACAGACGAGGCAAGGATTAGCGGACAGACAGACAGACAAAAGATCTACAGACAGGTAGATAGGCCGATGGAAATGTCTGACATAGCATTTTGTGATGTACATGTCATATAACACCCACAGCACATAATACCTTAGCGTAGGAAGTAAAATGGCGGATCAGAATATTTTTCCGAGCGGACTTGGTGTCAAAGTTGACATTGACGCTCGTGTCCTCATACACTCTAAGTTCAGTTACGTAATCACTCTTGATGTTCATAATATATAAGAATATATATATACAACAAAAAATAGGAAAATAATGGTCAAAATCCGCAAAAAGAAGGAAAGTGGATTCGAGCAGAAAATAGGATAGGTAACCCGGGCAATACGTGTTTCTGCTTGTTGGCTTCATCAGGCCCGAAATGAATGATTCGAGGCGACATCTAACCACAATTCGCGGTCTTCTAGCCATTTTATACTACAATGTGTAGGTTGGCTCTTGTTGGGTACTTCGTGTGTGTCATTTTTTCCGTCTTCGTCTTCGTTTCCTCAGGTTACACCCGTATCAAGATGTATGGACATGTGTGTTTACTTTTGTGGTTGCATATGTGCATTAATTTCGGGCCTGATGAGGCCAACAAGCATAAATACGTATTGCTCGGGTTACCTATCGTATTTTCTGCTCGAAACCAATATACCTTTTTTTTGCGGATTTTGCCCATTATTTTCCTATTTTTTGTTATATAACTTTCTCCGCATGATCATTTTCTCATTGTATATGTACATATATATACAGGGTGGCCCATCCATGTGTGGTCGGAATATTACTCATAAACAAATACATTTTGGGAAAATCTATTTATGGGATGTCATACATGACATTTGAGGGCACATTTATAAAATATTGGCCATTATCCAGTGTGTCCCAATTTTGACCTACATATCAAAGTTGTGATTTTCCAAATGGAATGCCAATGCTTTTATTGCATATTTGGATAAACCAATTCAAAAGAAGAATACTGATATGACATACTATGGGGTTTTGTTAATTAGCTACTGAGATACAAGGTGTTTTTTCTAGAAAACCCCCCTCTTCGGCAACCCCTCAATCCGCCAATTTGAAATTCGGAGTGCTGAATTTTGTATAAAAAAAACTTACACACCTCAGCTTTTATCTTATTTGTTACTTTTTAGAATTTTAATTTTTGCTCATACAGGGTGGTCAAAATGCAACAGAAAAAATAGCCGAAAAAACCCTTATGTGTATAGTATTAAAAAAAGCTTATAAAAAATTGAATCCAAACTTGCACAAATATACAGGGTGATGCATTTGAAATTTTTGAGAAAAAGCAGAATTCGCGTTTTTGACCACCCTGTATGAGCAAAAATAAATATTCGAAAAAGTAATAAATAAGATAAAAGCTGAGGTGTGTACGTTTTTTTTATACAAAATTCAACACTCTAAATTTCAAAATGGCGGATTAAGGGGTTGCCGAAGTGGACGGTTTTTCTGGACAAAACACCTTACATCTCAGTAGCTAGTTACCAAAACCCCATAGTATGTAATATCAGTATTCTTCTATTGAATTGGTTTATCCAAATATGCAATAAAATTTGAGGCATTCCATTTGGAAAATCACAACTTTGATATGTAGGTCAAAATTGGGACACACTGGATAATGGCCAATATTTTATAAATGTGCCCTCAAATGTCATGTATAGCATGCCATAAATAGATTTTCCCAAAATGTATTAGTTTATGAGTAATATTCCATCCACACATGGATGGGCCACCCTGTATAGGGTGTTCCTTAATGACGTGCGAATAATTAAGGGTGTGAATCTACATGAAAAATTGATGTTAGTTTGCTTTATAAACTATGGTCCAAAATGATTCCTTACAAAAACTCTGGGTGTTGAAGTTTTAGGAAAAAAATGAAAATTAATTAATATTTTCAGGGCCGCTTCAGATATTTCACTGATACTTAGTACCTATTGAAAGTTAATAAAATTGCATATTTTTCAATGCAAAAATAATTTTTAGCGTTAACAGTGGCGTGCGTACGGGTATTGACTTCGATATTTTTCAAGAAAAAAATGGTACGCCAATGGTTTTTTGCCAAATAAAAATTATGTTTTAATTCGCCGTTCAATTTAAAATAAATGATCTCTCTTGAATTGTTATCCTTCCATGCGCCATTTTTGAGTAAAAAAATAAAAACCGTTCTATTGTCTAACTTGCAAAATTATTAATTTAATTGGAACAATTAAACACATTAGGGGTAATGAACAACAACTGACAACATAAACATAACATTCAAACCAACGGTGGCCATTCTTGGGGCCCACCGCGGCCAATCCAACGATTTGGATAAACAGTTTGTAAATAATTACGAACCGCTACACTGAAATGCGCTGGTGCACCATCATGCATATACCACATATTGTTTCTTATTACTAACGGAACATCATCAAGCAGCAAAGGCAACTGTTGTTGAAGAAAATTGAGGTAAGTCTGTCCGTCAAGTCGTCCCGGCAAGAAGAATGGGTCAATAAAGTGGTTGCCAATAATTCCTGCGCATACGTTAACCGAAAATTGTGTTTTGTGTGTTGTGTTGGAAATGGGTTTCGGCTACGGCATAGGGATTTTCTTCTGCCCACAAATGGTTATTGTGGAAATTCTGAATGGCATTTCGAGAAAAATTAGCTTCGTCCGTGAAGAGAATCATTGATTGAAATTGCGGAGTTTGTGTAATTTTTTGAAGATACCACTGACAAAAGGTCATCCGCCTTGGAAAATCAATGGGATGTAATGCCTATACTCTTAGAATATGGTAAGGATATAACAAAAAATCCACTAAAATTCTCCAAACAATTTGATGGCAAATATTTAAGTGACTAGCGATCTTCCCCGTACTCGTTTCAGGATGTTCCTCGACTTCGTGCAGCACTGCTTCCTCAATTTCAGGTGTTCTCACACTTAGAGGTCTACCTTCAGATGTTCCTTTTTGGACAGAACCAGTTTCAACAAGACGACGATGAATATTAGAAAAGGTTCGACTATCTGGCAAAGCACGATCGGGATATCTCTGGTGATAAATCCGTCTGGCTTGCTCACCATGACCGTCGGCAAGGCCATATACGTAATGCATTTCCGCCATTTCTGCATTTGAATAATTCACCGTTATAACAAGATTGTAAAAACTAAATAATGAAAAAGATGTCACAGCGGACAGATTTGAATAACAGAGACTTGTCAGATGTCAAAAGCCAGTAACATATTCCAGAGCAACTTGATATTTATTGCTAAATTGCATTCTTCAATTATTACATTAATTTTCTCGGACAATACAACGGTTTATATTTTTTACTCAAAAATGGCGCATCGAAAGAAAACAATTCAAGAAATATCATTTGTTTTAAATTG